TAAAGTATGCAGAGAAACAGATGGACTACAGTCTGTTATTGTAGAACTACAAAGTGCAGCTATATAGTAAGTGGAGCTGATAAAATGGACAATGAGTGTAGAAACAAGGAGGTGGTTTTTAATGATATGGCTGATCAGTGTATTAAACTGTGTGGAGTTTGCATGTTCCCCCCATGTCTAAGTGGGTTTCCACCAGGTGCTCTGGTTTCCTCCCACAGTCTAACAACATGCAGTCAGGCCAACTAGTAACACTAAATTGCCCCTAGGTGTGAATGTACATGTCTGTGTGTCTGCCCTGTGATGGACTGGCAACCTGTCCAGGGTGTTTCCATCCTTCTGCCCAGTGAGCGCTGGGATAGGCTCCAGCTCCCCCCTGCGACCCAGGAGGATAAGTGGGTTAGATGATGAATGAATGAATGATTTGAAACCTGTCTGCCTTCATTATTAAGTATATTGTTTTGTCTTTTTGGCCCTTGGCTCACCACAAACAATGGGCCTCATTCACCAACTGTTCTTAAGAAGAAAGTTCTTCTTAAAACCCACTTGTGCAGTTTTCACGAAGACTCTGACACTCACCAATGCTTTCTAATTTGGGATTTGTTCTTAGGTAAGAACAGAATCTACACACACTCAAGAGCACAAACAATTCTGCAGTTTAAGAACATGTTATGAATCTGACGTAGACCTTTTATTAGGACCTTTCTCAATAACAACTTATAAAACTTATATTGGCAAATGAGGCCCAATCTGTTTTGCTTCACCATCAACCCCACTTGACCCTGCTTCATTACCTGATGTTTTCATCATACTTCTTTGAGATCGCAAAGACTCTCCTGTAGAGGAGTGCTGCTTTCCACGTTAGTTCCAGCATGATCTCAATTCAGCATCTACAGTTTTACATTGCAGTCTGGGACAACAGCATCAATCAACACCATACTCAAAAAACTGTTAGTATGGTGTTTTTTAATAGCTCAAGATCACTCAAATTCACACTTACTATATACTAAAAAACCAACTGTATTAGAATTAGTGTTGAGTACACAATTGGGACACAGCACAAGAGCATGACTGCACACCTGATTCATAAAGGGCTAATAACAAGCCGATGAGTGGAGTCAGCTGTGTTGGAACTGGGCAGCGGCTGTGAAACTCTGAACTAATATTCGCTGTTCAGCATTTTGACAAGTCCGGTTGTCAGTGCGCATGAAAGCACTGGGCAAGCGTCCAGAGAGACAGTCGAGCCTGAGAGAGCTTAGTGCAGAAACTTCTGGAAGAATGAAGGACTGTCTAGCGGTGACTGTACTCTGGTTTACACAGTCTGATGCCCTAAATCCTCTTACTTTGTTGAAGACTCATTCTGTTTGCCAGACATCATTTGGTAAAAACGTTGTCTGCTGTGTCCACGATCAGCAACAATGCTCATCTTTCTGATTAGAGTAGTAGCTAGTGTCATTTACTTCATTTCAGTTTTATAAGAAACAGTAAATTTGCGCTTGACTAAATGACAAAACTACTCAAACGTACTTCATCATGTGGACCAATGGTCCTCAGTCCTGGCCCTGGAAGATACATTTTAGCATTCTCCCTGCTTTAACACACCTCGTTCAACTCATCTAAAGCTCCTCATGAGATTAAAAAGGGTGCGATAGAGCAGAACAACACTAAAATGTCAATTAAACGACACCAGGAGCAGAATTAAGCTACGTGACAGAGTCTTACTTCAAATAGCCCTAACAAGATTAAACAGCATGTGAAGGTTGTATTATGAAATGTGTTAAACATTACTTAAAGCTGCAGTATGTATGATGTTAAAATTGAAAGAGGCAGCATTACTGAGTCAGGAGAAAATATAGTGAGTGTGCACTGCTGAGTTACCCTCCCTGCTAAAAAAGGACTATTAGAAACCATTAAGATTAAAACCTAATGGTTTTGCTTTCTAATGAAAATATATAAATTATAAGGTGTTGAGTCAGATGTCTGAGTTTTTCTGGTCTGTGTCATACCACATCCGTATGTATTAACGTCACACACACAGGATCACAAAGAAGATCCTGCTTTTTGGATTTGAGACCTAACCATCATCAACATTACACTGAAGATATGATGACAATAGTAGATAATTGACTCACATCCTCAGAAGACAACATCCTTTACAAAGTATTGAATGAGTTCTTGCTAAATACTCTCTCAAAGCACTGGCAATCATCAGATTCATCCACTGAGGGAAGGGAAAAAATATTAAGACAAAAAAAGAAATCTTCTGCATGTTGCAGGGAATTACACACTTCTACTAGTCTCCAAATTCCCATATCTTACATATGGTAGCTTTAATAATCAGGTAGTTATATGCATACGAAGTGTGTAAATCGATGCATCTCACAAATCAATTACGATTGTTTAGGAACCAATTTAATGCATCATGAAATCTCAGATTTTTGTGTTTGTTTCAAGAGCATACTTCCTAAAATTCAGGGACTGGGGTCAAAGAGCCCTGTGTCCTGGGAAAGCCATGGCCTCTAAGGTCTTTGGGTCCTGGTTCTTGGCTTTTCAAGCCAATGTCCCAAGCCTGAAGGTTGGAACATCTTGACCTGGTGATTCTGCTGGAATCCTGGGCCTCAGAGCCAACATAACAAGACTCTAATTTATATGTACTGATATAGCTAATGATGAAAAATGAGCATTGTGTGTTCTGAGATTGGGTTAGAGGCCTGAAACCTTAAAAATTATTCGGCCTATGTGTCAAGCTTTGGGTGGGCTGGATGCTGGTCTCGGTCAATGGTCTCAGGGCATATGGCCCAAGGCTGGGCTCCGTCTTCTGTCCTAATGCCTATGTAGCAGGCCTCACCATTATGGGCCTGAGGGGTGGTCCTAAACATGCCAAGTCCTACAGTATTGGTACTAAGGCAAAAAGTAGAGGGGTGTGGCTGGGGCTTAAATTACAATACTGATGGGACTAAGGAATGATGTATCTGCATGGACCTGGCGTTTGGACCAGTCCTTGATCCTTGACTTTTGCTGGATGCTTGGGTATAAACCTGACACTGAAGGGTGCTGAGGATGGTCTCATTTTGTTGGAATTTTGCACTTCAAAATAGCCTGAAATGACTGGATACTTTATTAAATGTTTTTTTATAACAGCTCCTCTAATGTAACAGTGACTCAGTGGGTTTTTACAGTGCATCCTGTATTAAAACTGCGTTAAGTCAGTGGTTCTCTCGTCTTAGAGAGCCCCTACCCTGCACATTATAGAGCCCATGTGTCAAACACAAGGCCTACGGGCCAAGTCAGGCCTGTGACACAGTGCTATTTGGCCCATGACAATATTTGAATTTTCTATTCTTATTAGCCCATTTCACTCTGAGTTTTGGCATATTTAAAAAAAAAAAAATAATGGCCCGTTTGGGTCATGACAAAATGTTAAATAAAAAGAGAAAAAACACAGCTGGCCCACAGATTTGCTGAGATTTTTTAATATGGCCCTTAAGGTGGTTGAGTTTGACACCCCTGTTTTAGAGTATTCCCTGTTAGACGGGGGGCTTGATAGTCAGCTGATGAGTTGGATCAGGTGTGTCAAAAGATGGAGTATTTGAGAGGGACAAGTAACAACACATGATCATGCTATAACAGTGGTTCTCAATCCTGGTACCACTTCCTTACACATGTCAGCGTTTCCTCTGCTCCCGACGCATCTGATGCAACTAATGAACTAATTAACAGCCTTTCCTGAGGTGACCTGGGTACAGCATTATAGCAGGGAAAACACAATAGTTGTGTCTCAAAGCCACGGAAGCGGCCGAGGAAGACTGCATTTCTCAGCCGTTACCTCACTTATGGCTGGAAAATGGCAGAAACCTTCACTTTGACACGTCTAATATGCAGGGCAATGGTGGTCCAAAACCACACCCATAAACAAAGAGGTTCCTTAAGGGATCTTTAGGAAAAGCAATAGTTACATATTGAACCATGACAACTAAGAGAACCAATGGTTGTCTTGCTAAATGGTTCTTCTCTATAATGAACAACCTCTTGTGTCTGGTTCTTTAGAGAACCTTTAATAAATGGTTCTATATAGCTCAAGAAAGGTTCCCACTATTGTTATAAGTCAAAGAGCATCAGAACAGCACTGCGCAACAGTTAGAGACCACCCTCCGTTTATACGATTTCCAGTCAAAGCAGCTATTAAATAAAAGTTCATTTTCAGGAGATATTTCTGAAGAGATTAGATGTAGATAGTCCACCTGCATAAGGAAAGAGAAAGTGAAAAAAAGGGAAACTGGAATTTAAATGCGTTATTAAAAGAATATAGTGAAAACAAGAAAATCGAGCTTCACTCCTGTTTCAAACCTAAAAAAAAAAATTGTCAGGTGTTTCTGTCCATCCTTCCACTCTGAGAAGACAATCAACGCCAATACTGGTTTGAAAGGATATGTAGCTGTCAATCAAAGAAGCTGCTAGTGTTTTCGGAGTGTGTTTTGTGATTACTTGGATTGTGAGAAGCAAAAAAAATGCACCCAACTTATAAGACTGAACTTTGGAGGTTTGAATAATATCAGTGCCAATTTCTTTGAAAAACTGAAAGTAAATCTCCTGAACAGAATCGAAGCTGTGGACACACTAAATCCAGAAAAGGGACACTATATTTAAAGACTTTTGTCATTTTTTTTACTAAATATTTTTTAGTATTTTTTAAATAAATGTACTAAATTTATGTTTTCTACTTTAACCTGACATTGAAAATGATTAACTCAAATGATTAATGGCCATTCACAATGGAAATTAAACAAATGAAGGGGACTCTTGCACAGTATGCTGTGTGTGTGTGTGTGTGTGTGTGTGTGTGTGTGTGTGTGTGTGTGTGTGTGTGTGTGTGAGATCTATATATAGAATCGAAAGATCTGTGCTAAAGCATTAAAACCACAGGAAACCAAAGAGCGTCAGGCCATTCACGCTTTTTCTTTCTGGTGTCTACATCCATGGCAGAGTAAAAAGATGCAGAAAAATAGAGGGGAACCTTTATGTTTGAATCATACAATATGACAATTACAGGGGAATCAGTTGTAATTCATCCTTTATACACTGGTCTCTCACACATACACCACAGAGGGGAAAAAAAAAAAAGGAAAACCTCACTGTCTTCACCAAAACAGAGCTTTTTGCACAAACAGAACCAGTAGCCCAAAGCAACACACCCTCCGCACCCCCCCCCTTTATCCAAAAACCTGAGGGTTGCAAAGCAGTATCCGCGACACAAAGCAGCGTGGGTTTTGTAGTTTTTTTGTTTGTTTGTTTAATGTATTGTAGGTCTTGTTTTTCTATAAAGAGGCACAATTTAGGCTTCCGAGTCACGGTGAGATTTTCAGGGAAGTGTCAGCTACGTGTGTCCAAACTGTAATACAATACACACACACACACACACACACGCACGCACTCACACGCACACCGAGCGCACTCGCCCTCTCGATCATGCCAGCTAATGCATACAACATTCTTAACATTCACATATAAACCTTAAAATTAAAAAGAAAAAGTCAAGTTTTCAATGAGGGAAAACAAACAAAAAAACAGCAGTTACAATAAATACAGAAACTGCAAAACACCTCAAGACGGTTAATACATATGTACTTATGCTGACATAATAATATAATAAATCATTATAATAGCAATAATAATAATAGTAATTTCCAGTTGAATTGCAGTTGAACACAGAGCGAGGACTCTTTTGATTGGCTCAGAACAGAGGACTAGATGAAGCAACAGACCAAAAGATACCAATTCCCCAGGTAACCTCAACACAGACGCACAGACAAGCAAGTACACGCGCGCATACACGCTTCATGGAGGGTATGTGAAGTGCAGACCTGCACTCAGAAGCTCCTGCTTTCTCTTTGGGGACATTTCACAAAACAGGATTTTCTCAAAAAAGCAGACTGCAAAGTCAGCCGCATGCATCGTGGATCTCTCTGTAGTCGGTGTCTCGCACATATTAGGAACTCTGGGTGTAAGATGGGGAAAATAAATGGTGTTTTCAAAAACTGCTGCTATTGCTGTGGTAAACTGTGTTACATACCCGATACGCTTCACTGTTGCACATCCCTTCCTCTCCCCTAAATAACAGTAGATCATCTGAATTATGAGATAATTATGTCAAAATGCAACCATTGCTACATGCAAGCCAATACAGCTGTGCACTAAACTGACATCATAAGACTGGCAACCTCAACCAAATACGCCTCCTTCCAAGCTCTACCAAACGTGGTAGTTAAGTCGCTTTAGCAGTAGTAGCCTACAGTTTGAGTAGCTGGTGTTGGTATATAACAGTGTTGAACTTTAATAGTAGAGTGTTAGCTTGCTTGTAGATTTAATAAAATGTAGCATTATGCATATTTTGACTCCTCAACAACCTCGTAATTCAGAGGATTAAGTAACACTATCATTTTCCACATAGGTAAAGTCAGCTTAGACCTAGGGTTCCTGAATTGGGTACGATGCCACCTGCAGAATGATGACCATTTCAGAGGTCTACTTCTTTTCTAATACTTGGTTATTTGTCACCTTGCCTTAATAACAGCATCAGTCCTGTTGGGTAAGGATTACGCTGGTCTAGGGGTGGAGGTTGCCACACCATTTCACATTTTGGCAACAGGAAACGCAAAGCCAGTTGGTCAACTGCAACCACTGTGATAGCTAATGTAGCAGCGTGGTGACCATGGGTGGCCACTCCTGCAGAACTGTTTTACTGAATGAAGTTTGGTAATATCAGTCTATGAAATAAGGTCTTACATATAAAAAAAATAATAATTGCTGCTGTCAGGACAAAACCTTGCATCTCAGTTTTTGTGATGATTTGAAAATGCCTTTACATTGTGTATAAACGTCATGATGAATGGACCAAAAGAAATGGACAATAATGACTTAGAAAAAAGTCTGGTTCCATTGACTTACATTGAATGTAAAGAAGGTTTTTTTCCTTCTCCAGGAAAGGTATCATTTTGGAGATACAAGGTTTTGTTCTGTTAACAGTGATATGGTGTTCAATAAGCTGCCGTTACAGCAAGAGGCTCTCACTGCAGTAGCTGAACAGTACCTAATGAAATAGCCTAAATGGGATGACATCAGGACAGATCAGCACAGTCATCACAACAGAAATTACCAATGTACAGACCGTGTTTCTATGATTGTGGCAACAAAGTCTTAATACTGGCCACTTCTTGGTTTAGTGGCCCGAGTGACCAGTGCAAATTTTTATATCTGTCTACCCCTGCACCAGTCTTGAGATAGTCCCTGTTCATTGTACCCCACTCTTCCAATTTCTTAGGCGCCTATTTCAGCACACCTGCTTTTCCAAAAGAGAACTGGGATTGAGATCTGGTGATACTGCTGGTCAGAGACACTGTCCAAGAGTTCCATCAGGTCTGTTGAATTAGTCACAGACAGGCACCCCCTACTGGAATGTGGGAATGTCTATGTTGTGTTTTGCTCAGACATGAAGCACAAAGTTAGTTGAAGGAACTGTCTTAGAAGACTAGTGTAATTCTTAAACAACAGTGACAGGACTGATGCTTATTAAAGGGCAGTTGCACTGATTTTTCATCATTTCTGCGTATTTAAATCATTAAGATACAAACAAAGTCATTTGGAGTGTTTTAAGGTCAAATGTTTCATACTAGAGGAACTCAGAACTGTTCTCAATGGTAGCGATAGGAACCAGACATCCAAAGTGTTTAACGCCACTAATACAGCGGGTCCCAAAGGCCCCTTTGTGGATACTAAGTGCCACTGCGCACCCCCTCGGCCCCTTCCTCGCCCATTTTTTACAACTATCGCTGACCATGTCAGAGACATGGCCCTCTTCTATGACTTGGCTTGTTATGGCAGTGAATTGCGATTGGTTGCCGTATATTTAATTTTAATAGACATCTACCATTTTGAAACAAGTACATTTTTAGATATGACTGAGGCAGATTTAATAAACCGACAACATTTAAACAAAGTAAAGATACAACTCATAAGATTTTCCTGCAGCTCTAAAAGCTTCAAGTTATTACATGAAATGGTTCCAAATATGTTGCCCGAAACCTGACAGGATGCTGTATGATAGACGAGAATATTTTGGCGTAAAACATATTTTTCTTTCATCCATTCATGGCAGAGAGGTACATGCAGGGCATTGTAAGGGAAAAAAAAAAAAAGTCCCCCAACATTTTTTTCAGATTGACCATTATAATTATCAGCATTTTGGACAGCAAACAAAATGTAGACATCACAGCTTCTGGTTCCTATCATCACCACAGTGTTTTAAAAAAAAACAAAAAAAAAACAGAACACACCTAACGCCTGAGTTTTTCTACACTGAACCATTTTACATCAAACCACACTGAATGACGTCAACATCTTGATGGCTGAATTATGCATAAATTTTGAAAAACTGGTGCAATTCCCCTTTAATGTAATTGGATGTTTTACCAAATATAAGAGAAAAAAAATGATGCATGCATGGAGCTCCTCAATACTACGTATGATAGAAGAAGTACAGAGCATTTCTACCCCACCATCTCTTTACTTACCGAGACCAGTTTTGTGAAACATCCCACTCCGTCTTCACTGACTCAGGCCAGTTACATGGGCCTAATTATTGACCTCCCCTATCCCAGCACATTTAAAAAAAACTGACCTGAGGTCAGCCCGTAAGGGCGCGACGTACCAAAGCACAGCAGAATAGAGCACTCCTATCTTTGCTACTACGTGACTCGAGAAGAAGAGAGATTTTTTTTTTTGCATCCATCCCAAATAACGGCATTTTTTTCTGACCCCATCAAACCCACCACATAATTCATCATGCACTCTAATATCCAAAGAAATATCCATTGAGTATATACACACATTTATATAATATATAAATATATCTATATCGCTCTGTTTTTTTTTTTTTTTGCCTGGTTCTTGTGTTGACAAGGTAAATGACTAATGTAAGGGACTTCAACAGACGTCTTTATTAAAAATCAGTTGATGTCGAAACTGGCTTTGGACTGAGAGGACTGGCATGTTTAAATAAAGGTTGTGAGATCTCATGTAGGAAAATTCAACCTGGGACTGTTACACCCTCCTTTAACACGCACACAAGCACACACATCAGGCACATACACACACACACACACACACACACACACACACACACCTGTCCCCTGCCCAACTCCTGTGTGTTGCTAGGAAACGCCCGTAGCCCCCCTTTAGTTTCAGTCTCCACCCCCCGGCCTCTACCGAGTCGCTCTGAGCTGTTGGCTGAGGTGGGCGTGTCTTACAGGTGTCAGTCTTGCGATTGGTGCTTTATTTTTTTTTTTGTGGAATAGTCCCGCTTTTCCTCGCCGGCGGCAGGTCAGTTTCACCGTGAGGAGGCGTGTTCAGTCGCCGAGGATGATCTTCACAAAGCTAGCAACGTCTGTCTCTTTGGAGTCGTGGCAGGTGAAAAAGGGGTGTTGCTGCACACAGAGAAAGTTAAAAGCAAACAAAATTTCACCAAGTGTTAAACACCAAAGGACATTATGAACATGAACTGCACTTAATTTGTACTGCCAGAGCGTTCGCCTGCACTTCCGAACATCATGGAGCAACAGGTGCTGGCTCAGCTCCCATTTAAGAGTGGAGATCAGTGGTGTGAGGCTGACATCTAGTGGTCAGAGCAGGGAGATGCAGCCGAAAGAGAAACAGCAGATTACAAAAACTCACCATGAGTTCTGTGTAGTTTGGCCGCTCTTTGGAATTCTTCTTTAAGCTGATATAAAAATATACAAAAAAAATAAATAAAAATTAAAAAAAAAGAGAAACAAATATATTAGAAGAGATGATTTATTAATAAGTCATGTACACGAATCTCAAAATCATCACTAATTGAAAAGCTAGACGCTGACAGTCTTCAGAAATAATATAATTCTGAACCCCCTCATTCAACCTTGACTCATTTGCCTTTCCCCAATGTTTTCAATATTTTTGCCTAAATAAATGGTCAAGATGTAAATATCATTGAGCGGTTTGATGTGAATTGCAGGCGAGAGAAACAAAACTGTTCACAGTGGTTGTGATAGGAACCAGACATCCAAGTTTTAATACCTCTAAAAGCTTCACAAAAAGCTATTAAGTGATACAGTTATGAACACATTGGTCTAAAACAGTCCAAGAAATATTTTTTCAGGTTTATTACTATTCTACCAACATTACATATAAAAGCTCTGAAGATGTGTGTAGGTTCACTGGTGGCTTTTGGACAGTAAATAAAATGGCCATATTTGTGCTGTAGACACTGCGACTCCTGGTTCCTATCACCACCACTTTAAAGAAATCTGAGTCTGTTTCTCTACAGCGAACCATTTCACATCAAACCACCCTGAATGACTTTGTTTATATCCCAATGAAAAAATTCTGGAAAAAATTCTGTGTAATTTCCCTTTAATCAGATAACAACACTTCACAGAGCAGAAATATTACCCAACGAAGATGTATGCATGTGTGCTGGCTAGTTACTAGGGATGAACAGGAATTTGGAATATATAATGGGCCAAAGTCATTATCCTGTACTTATTTACAGATGCTGACGCGGTCAATGCATAAACATCTAGAAAATATAAAAACTGGGGTTAAAATCTACCTGGATTTGCATTACATACTAATCTCACTTATTTCTACTGTTTTACATGCACTAAAATGAATAAAATGCAGATATTTAAGAGAAGTAGCCCAGCATCACCTGAACATTCAGCTCTTCCAGAGCACAATAAATACATAAATAAATAAATACATAATAAAAACATAAAATACTTAATAAATACGTAAATACACGTTTGAAATATTGGTCAAATCTAAACATCTGACAAAAGTTGATTTCTTTTTAAAAGCAACTGCTCGCCAATAACACTGTGATTCCGATATCATAGTACATCCCTGATCTGTAATGAGACCACATTGAGATCTGTCTAGTTATGCAGGTAAAACCCACCATTGTGATGTGAAGTCCACAAACTCTGGCGAAAAGCGGTCAGCAGGTAGCTGTGGTGATGGCTCTTCCACCACCTGCTTCAGCTGCTGGAATGGCGTCCCCCAAGAGTCATACGGAAAGCGCAGGATCGCCAGCTCGATCTGACCACAACAGGGGAGGGGAAAATTTAATGTACAGCTAAGAAAAACACAAACAACCAGAGCAACAACATATCACTTCTGCTGCCACTGTCAGTGTCCAACAGCTTCCAGCACACTGCACTGCAGAGGACTTTATTAAACTTCACCACAGTATATTAGATTTTTACAACATGATGCACTCAGCGGAAACGAGAAGAATAGGCTTTTTGTTACACTGTATATTTGCCCCAAATTGACCTAATCCAAAGGGGAAATAGTTCAGTTTCATCACAGTGAGGTTTAAAACGCAAAACTGCTCTTATTTTCAACTACAAGTGTTAAATTGCCTAAACGGTTTAACTAAACTATACATTAAATTACACATTGATTCACAATGCATTCTGATACATTTCAAGACACAAATGCAATACAGCCTGCAATACAGGAGCAAGACTAGAATTTTGTGCAGCCCAACTCTAGAACTAAAAGGTAATTCTATTTTTGATTTTTTCCAGATTTTCAGATTTTTCGAAACATTTTGAAAAATTAATATAAACAGTCATTCAAAGTGTTCTGATGTGAAATCTTCCAATCAATAGAAACTTGCTGGGTCAGAATTGTTCACAATGGTGGTGACAGGAACCAGACATCTGGAGAGATTGATGCCTCCAACATCTCCCATATAGAAAATTAAGAGTTTTGAAATAAGTATTTAGCTTTGCTGTTGTCGGAACAAAACCTTGTATCTCCATTTTTTACGTCCATTCATCCATTTCATGATGAATGAACCAAAAGATACAGCCCAGAATTACTTGGGAAAAAGTCTGGTTACATTGACTTACATGTAAACTGTATGTTTGCCCCCCTCTCTGGTAAAGTTATATACATACACACACACACACACACACACACACACACACATTCAAGTATATATGTTTTTTTTTACCCCTCCATGCAGGGTGTTGTCAGACAAAACCATCCCCAAAGCTCATTTGTTTTTGTGAGATTTATCACGCCATTATCCACATTACACATAAAAAACCCTCAGAACACACCTTCACTGGTTCCCTGGTAGTTTTGGATAGTAAATAAAAAGGTTTTATTTGTGTTGTACATATTGATTGCAACCTCTAGTTCCTGTCACCACCAATGCAAAGAATCTATAATCACTGCACATCAAACCACTCTGAATGACTCCATTTACATCTCAACAGCTGAATTACGCAGAAATTCTGAAAAATCAGTTGAGTTGCCCTTCAAGGTTCTATGGACTACTGAAGTTGATTCAAACCGCATTAGGGGACTTACTAGGGATTCACAATGATACTGGAATCATATGACGGTTTTAAATTTCTCTGTAACGTTAGCCCAGCTGGATGTAGTCCAAATTCTGACGAAAGCCAAGAACTCTGATATCAGTGCAGGCCTACTGTCTAGTTCACACTAGAGCATCGGAGACAGTCTCAGCAGGAGCATGCACTGCACTGATTAATCACTCTGCAGACGTACAGCTCAGCTGTAAACACGTGGTGACTCACTGTGGTCACACACAGTCATCAGTTCACAAAAGCTTAAAGCTCAGACCCACCATGGTGATTCCTAAACTCCAGATATCAGACTTGACGTTGTAGCCTTTCTGATTGGTCTCCGGGTTTATCCGCTCCGGCTGCGAAGAGAGAAACGGAGAGGAGGAGAAAGGAAGATTGAAAAGAACAGTGATAGAGTGGTGGTGGAAGAGAAAGAGAGCACACAGAAAGAGAAGGATGAGGAGGCTGAGAGGAGGAAGTTTATTAAGACGTCACTCTGGCATGAACAAAGCTTTTCCTCAAGACGACAAGAGCTCGCCTTTTCATTCATAAAGCCGTCAAACCACCCACCACCTCGCTCTCTCTCTGACTGCACTTTGCTGTATGAAGCCTTCATTCACTGACAGCCATGTTAACGGCCCTTTCAGGGTAAACTATGGGGTCAAACTCCCATGATGGCATACAGCTTACCAGTAAGGAAGGGCCTTTTAACCATTTTTTGCTATTTATATAATCGACATTTTCAAACAAATACCATTCAGATATGCCCAATGAGAAAATAGTTTAAATGAATAAAAAACAAACCACTAAAAGCAGTTAAAACAAATCAGTTTACATTAGCACTTCTACAGCTTATATATTTGATGCATTATTTAACATTTTATGTAATTTTATGTACATTTTTACCATTCTGTAATATACCATAAACAACAGTTATTATACTATGTCACTCCAGACCCTGTACATGTACATATTTAGCATTCACCTCTTAAGCAAATTTTGCACTGGCTCTTCATCAGTTAATCTTTTATTCTTGATTCTAATTATTTTTACTTTATTTGTTCCTTAGTTAATACTTGTTAACAGGCTGTTTGCTTCTCTGGTCTGTTTAGTATGTTGCATCATATATGTGTGACTCACTAAGACAAATTCCTTATAAGTGTAACACACTTGGTGAAATAAAATGATTATTTCAGTTTATTAGTTTGTTTTTTTTCCTGATGATCAATTCTTTGTTTTACCCATTTCTTTATTACTATTTTACCTTTATTGTTTCTCACATTTTGCAGTACTGTTAGTATTACTTTTAGAATTTTTTCTTTCTTACTGTTTTCTCAATTTCCTTTTTTTCTTCACTTTCGCTGTTTCCCTTTCACCTTGCAAAGTACTTTCAGCTGCATATTATATGTGTCAAAGACACTATAAATTATTATTAATAGTATTATTATTATTATTATCATCATCATCATCATCATCGGAAACACAGAAGATTAAATACTTGATTAGTGCATGAAGCTGGCATAAGAGGTACATGATTGTTAGGTGGATTGAGGGATGGGTTATAATAGTAATAATAATAATAATAATAATAATAATAATAATGCATTTTATTTATAATGCACCTTTCATTTAGGTGAAAATCTCAAGGGGCTACAAATCCAACAGAATGCATAACATTTAGACAAACATCAATATACAGCCAAAATAAAAAAGCCAAACGAGTACACAATAATAAGTGCAGTACTAGTAACAGAATAATAAAATAATATTAAATAATGCAAGCATATAATTTAACATGCTACCAGTTGGTCAATGATAAATCGTCTCATTATTCCCCCCGTACACATCATATCATCTATTTGTTATAAATATTATATGTGCAAAAAAATAAGATAAAGCCATTATTATAATGTCATTATTGAATATCTTAGCAATAACAATTGATACTTAAGTAAAAAGATGGTTAGGATGCCTTTAAAAAGACTAATTAAAAAATCTGTACAATAATTTAAAGAATGCATCATCATGACAACAATCACTGCTAATTTACTGAGAAGGAAAATAATAAATCAACTTTTTTTATAATCAAATAATCAAGTTTAATTGAGTTATCAAGACAGCCCTAATTACCATCAGGCAATATACATCAATATCCCATTTTTCCATAATGTAAACAAATACTATCAGGAGCTATTTGAACACAGACATCCTAAGTTGTGCTACTCACCGCCATGTAGGGTTTGCAGCCAGCATCCATCGTTTTAGCCACCGAGTCCACCAGATAGCCGCTGATACCAAAGTCACACATCTTCACCTGGCCCTGCATGTTGATCAGAACGTTGGAGGGTTTCACATCTAAAAACAGAGAGAAAAAGCGAGACAGCGCAGAAAAAAAAGAGTGAAAACGTGGGTGAGAAGAAGAAAATTGTGCTTTTGTGTAAAGGTGGCAGTGCATACAATCAGCATCAGAACCACCTTTTAAAAGAAAACCCCTTTTCATAACGGCAAAACACATTTCTCCAGGCAGCCAAAATCATTATATAAAGACAACACTGAACATTCATTCATGGGCCTCTTTTGATACAGCCTTATTTGACCAGGCAGAGGGCACAGTGCAGTTTTTCAGGCCTACACTAGAAGGCAAATGTGGCATTAGGTGCTGTATCACAGCAGTGCTGGAGTCATCTGGGGTTAAAGGATTAATTTGGGATTTCTGGAATCAATGCAAATTCCTTTTACACGGTAATAGCATGTTGTCAGTTAAACCAGACACTTCTATTGATGAGTGGAGCTTTATTTAGTTCCTACCTACAAGTCCCTGTAGGAGGTTTATACTGGAGCTTCTACAGAGAGTGAAAGCTTTAAAACTTCAAAAATGAATTCACTAGCAAGATGCCAGTTTTACAAAAAAACACCCTGTGGGTTTTTTAACATGAATGTCACGTCAACACCGACTTAGAATGAAGACAGTTTATGAGTAAGTGGCACTATTCTTAACAGGGAAGTACAGCTTGTGCAAAGAAATAGGATGGGTGGAGTTGATGTCAAGAAGAATGATGATGAAATAGTTTTCAGTGTTGCTGGAATCCCTGAAATGGTGCTCAGAATTTTTGAGAACACCTCAACGTTAAAACAGTATAAAGGGTATGTCGTCTTTAGTATGAAGGTATAAAAGTATTGTTTAGTATATATATGAATATAAATGTCTTATGTATGTGGACCCCTATGGGTAACTTCCTTTATAGACTTGTGGACCCCCGCAGACACCCTTTTGTCCACCAGGAATCTGACTTGCGGTCTTCAGATTAGACAATTGTGCCACAGGGAAGCCTAGCATGAGGCACCTCCCATCTAAATGTATTGCAACAATGCAGACTGAACTGGTGATTTTGAATAAAAATCACAGTTAAAATAACAATAACATGTAAAACGTATCCTCACTCACTCAAATGAGAATTAGGCTCGAGCTGAATGACGATAGTATCAAGTACGCTATCAATTCAGATGATTTAAAAGTGTGAACACACTCCATCCGCAGCTTTTGGATGCACAAAAGTCATTATATTCTTCTCCTAATCTGTTTTATTAACAGGCTTTCTTTTGATGTGCAATGTTAGTGCATGTCCTGAATCAGCCTTGATATGCTGTCTGGGTTTAGAACATTCAGAAGCATCACATGCAAACATTCAATGTATTTAGTAAAAACTACCAAATCATACCGAGATCAGCTGGCATACAAGTTTCTGACCACGTTTTGTCCAGGTTAAGGAGTCCCAGCAGGTAGTCTGGTGTTATCACAATCTCAAAACAGGTTATTGGAGTAAGATGCCGTAGATATCGATTAACAGCATCCTCAGTCTGTCAAGCTGCAGTGTGTATTTATGACCCCTTTTTATCTGTGCATGTTGTAAACGAGCCCAAAACTCTACAACAGCACAAGCAATTGGTGATTACTAAGTAGTACGATCGTACGACAGCACATTGCATGCGAGATCATAAGCCTACTTGTTAAGTGTAAATGTGAGTTTAAATGTCTTATTTGTGTGGATCCCTATAGACTCATCCTGGACACCCCTGGACCGATGTGTCACTCGGACACTAATATCACTTGATGCTGACAGCCGTAGTTTTATAGATGTCGGCAAAATATTGTTGATAAGGCACAGACAATTAACGCTTCAGATCAGTGCAAAACCTTAGACAGTTGTGCCACTGGGGAACTTAGTATGAGGCAACCCCTTTTAAATATATTACAGCAACGCAGACTGAACTGCTGAATTTGAAAACAAAGCACCATCATGGTAAAAATATAACAAACGTTACGTTTTTGTTAATACAAAAATAAGAGGTTATAAACAGAAATGAAAGCTGAAAAACGAACCATGGGTTGCTGGGAGCTTCTGTAGTTTAACAAGTACGACAACTGAGTTTAACAAGTGTGACAATCATTATCTGTCAGTAAAGCAGTGTTTAACTAAAACTACTGGAGTATAAACTTAAAGTGGAAAAAATAAAATTATATCGGCCAGTTATCAAATTGATTAGTTATCAAAAATTTAACGCCACTAAAATCAGTAACAAAAAATAAATAAATGGATAAATGAATGAATTTCTATAGGTTGAGCCCTAATGTAGACGCCCCCCCCACTGTTACATTCCTGGAAAGACAGTTGCAGAAAATCTGTATATGATGAATATCACAGAGGGAAAAAAAATAAAATAAAATGATAAATAAATAAATAAACAAACAAAAAAAAACCAAAAAAACAAAGCAAAATCACAGGCACAGTAGAAGGCCAGAGACATTAGTGCCTGCTACCCTAAGAATTAAGTATTTTCTGCTATGGATCACAAAAGCTGAGACTTCTCACAGTTAAACCTGCTCGTCATTAGCACACCTGCTTAATTAGCTGCATTCAAAAGCTCATCTAAAAACACCCCAGTCTCTCACCTCGGTGGATCACGGACAGTCTGCTGTGCAGGTGCTCCAAAGCTTTCACAATCTGCAACAGGAAACAACACTGAGTACAATGGATATATTGTCTCCCAGTGAGAGGGGACTCATTCATGGGTAAATGGGGATAAAATTAATGCTGCACGCATGGTGAAAGGAATCAAATGAATAGGTTCCTTGGAAAATACACTTGTGACTATTTGACCATATCTTCTTCCTCTCATTTCGAAGCTAGTCCAGAAGAAAAGAGACAAACTACAGCCAAACTGCTGTTTTCATTGCCAGCTGGAGAAACACAATATCTAGAGCTGTATAGAAGGTGGGAAAGTAGACAGGATAAGGACGTGAGAAGAAATGGGATCCAAATTCCCTCCCAGAACTGCAACATTTGTATCTTATTACCCAACAAAGCAGTCTCAATTTTGCCATTTGGGTCCTCAAGAGACTCAGCGTTAGGCAGGCTGGTTTTTGGTTAAATATACTGATTTACTATCAGAGCTGCATAAACTCTAAGTAACAACTAAGCTAAACAGAAAATTCGTAGCCACAGACAGAAAACTGCTTAAAATGACAATGACCAGGAGTGTACATAAGGCCTGACCATACACACAAGCACAAAAATGCCATATGGACTGCCCTCGGCCCAGTTCGCAGTTATTCACGATACACATGGCTCTTAAAAGATTGGTTTAATCAATGTGTTGTTTAAAATAAAAAGGATAAGCCACTAGAGTAGAATGATCTCAGTACTTACTGAAACTGCCATCTTGCCCAGGATGTCCTCTGGGATGGTCATACCCTTCTCCTGAACCTGCTTATAAAACTTATCCAACGACGTGTCCATCAGCTCCATACAGATCCACACGTCACCCTGACAACACATTCATCAGGTGAGGAAAACAGCCTCGCAGTGAGTGGAGGAGGAGTGGTTAAGACATCATAACACATCCTAACATGAAGAAAATGACTAAACTGTGTGTCACTTTTCTATTGGAGAATCAGCATCTAGATACTAGGAGAACATTTCAGCTCACTATATTTACAGGACGTACTGGCACGTTTAGGCTACGTTCACATTACAGGCCTCATTGCTCAAATCCGATTTTTCGCTCAAATCCGATCTCTGACACGATGGTTCACACTCGTTTAGGTGATTCAAATCTGTCATTAATGTGAATGAACTGGCTTCCTGAAATGACCCGCATTCACACATCCTACTCAGTAAGGTCACATGAATGAATTACGTGCGTCACGTGCATCATCAGCAAACAAACTAATGAGCAAAACAAGCCTTCGCTGCGAAGATAATTAACTCTTATCAGCTCTCAGCTTCTCATTATTAGAGTGAGACAAAGGCGAAAAAGGTGAGATGTGTTGTTTTTCCACTGTTTACAGGCTTTAAGTTCTTTTTGGCGCTGTTGCCATGGTAATGCTGAATGATGGCGCATGCGCAGTGCAAAAAAAGCATGTGAACTCCGATCTGAGCGTCACATTAAGGTCGCATGGCCACGAATAGGATACGTATCTGATCTAGGACCACATATGAAAGTGGCTCAGGTCAGATTTGAAAAGGTCAGATTCGAAAAGATCAGATTTGCGTGTCCAGACAGCCCCGAAAACATCAGATCTAGGTCAGATCGATTTGTGCCACTTCTGTCTGGTAACGTGAACGTAGCCTTAATATACTAACTATGAATTCAGACTACAAATGAAACTCTAAACCTGTGAAACTGCTCACCAGTTTGGGGCTCATTTTAATATGAGGTTAAACCAATGGGTCATTGGCCAGTGCAGCAAGTACCTCTCTAAAGAGCGCCCCGTAGAAAGTCACTGTGTAGAAGCAGTCCACTGTTCTCATTGAAATATCCAGGTCCATCAGCAGCCGCTTCTGCTCCTGAGTGTTCACTGTTGCCCGGATTCTCTAGAAAACACAAGAAAATCGCAAGTCTTGTTATAAGATTAAAGAAGTCTAAGCATTAAGAGCCGCCACAAACACCAACATCGTGATGTTGGCAGTTGTTTTGGAAAGTTTAGAAAAAAAACACTAACCAAACAAACCAGCATGAGTTCTAGAACATTCTAGAACAGCATGAGTGAGGAAAAACATTCTAGAACAGTGTAAGAGAGCATTCTAGAACAGCCTGAGTAAAAGGAGCCTTCTAGAACAGCCTGACTAGGGGAGAATATATTAGTACAGTGTGAACAGAGATATTCCATAACAGTGTGAATTGGGGAGAAGATTCTGAAATACTGTAAACAGAGAATATTCTAGAAGAGTAGAACAGAGGGAGAATATCGTAGGTATTGTGAATATAAGAAGAACCTTTGAGAACAATGTGACTGTAAGGAGAACATTCTAGAACAGCGTGACTGGGAGAACACTGTAGAACAGAGCATTCTAGAACAGCCTGGGTAGGGGAGAACATTCTAGTGAATGGAGGTATTCTACAACAGTGTGAATTAGAGAGAAGATTCTGAAACAGTGAAAACGGAGGAGAAAATTCTAGAAGAGTGTGAACGGAGGGAGAATACTGTAGAATAGTGTGATAAGGAGAACCACTGAGAACAGTGTGAATGTAAGGAGAACCACTGAGAACAGTGTGAATGGAGGGAAGGACATTTCGGACCAGTGTGAAGGGGGGCATTCTAAAATTGCGTGAATTGGGGGGCATTCTAGGACAGTGTGAAGTGGGGGTGCATTTCAGACCAGTGTCAAGGGGAGGGGGGGCAATTCTAAAGACTCCAAATAATCACTCTCAGGTAGACACACCAAATCTACCTGACTTACAGCATCCAAAGGTGAAACATTTGGGTGGGGATAATTTTGATGTTAAGCGCTGAAGTAGACACCTCTTTTGTGTTTGTGTGCGTGTGTGTGTGTGTGTGTGTGTGTGTGTGTGTGTGTAAAGTGCTGGCTGCATTAGGATCATTGTATCCAAGCACATCCACCCAGATTATCCAAACTTAGCCTGGATTTCCAGGTGATGGCATTTTCTGGAACTGTTACACCACCGAGCCTTTGGGGGCAGGAGTACTGCATACATGATCTTCCACTACATACATCCACTTTGCCTCACTTAGTAGAGGAGAAAATTTGCGGAGTCATTATGTAACGATGCTAACCAGGGGGTGCGGCTTACAAGACTTGTTGGAACCAGATTCCTCTCTTTATACGGTGAACTTAAATTGAGCTGGGACAATTAGCAGACAGAGTAAATTCTTCAAGACTCATTGCTTATTTAAAAGGGGGTGATTTGACCTTTGTTGTTTCCCCGCATCATAAAAGAACAAATGCTTGTCTCACAGACGATTTCGCTGTGGAGGAACCCCAGAAGACACCAGGGGTGAGAGATATGGAAAACATCAAGATTGTGTAAGACATTTTCACAGAATATGTATTACAGTATGAGGTTTGATAAGTTGGGATAGAAAAAAAACTAACCATCGAACAGAACCAAAGTAAAGACGATACCCACAATATGCTCAGAAAAGCATATCGCTGCTGTTGGAACAAAAGCTCGTATCTCTATTTTTGACATTTTGTTCTTTTATTTTTTATTTATTATTATTACTTTATTATTTTTTATTTTTTTTACACAATTTGAAAATACCACCTGACCTTTACAATGTTCCAACATTTCTTGACGAACAGACCAGCAGAAATGCTCCAAAAGTGCTTGGAAAATAATCTAGGTCCATTAACTTCCATTCAAAATTAAGAATGTTTTTTCTTTCTTCTGCAATGTTAACATTTTGGAGATACAAGGTTTTGTTCCGACAGCACTGATATTGTGACGTGACTTGTTTTATCAAGATAACAATTATTTTGAAGAAATAATGATTTCATTAGTTGGCTTATCAGAAAAATAGTTAATGGCTTATTCAATTAATTAAATATCTGAGTTGCAGCCCTAAACATTTAGTGAACCCAGATGTCTGCAGGCCCAGAGAGGCTTCAATTGAGAAGAGTATAAACTAAATAAGCTGTGTGATGTTACAGTTTAACCAGTGAACAGACAGCTGCAGTCTGACCCCCGTCTTCACTTTCATAACAGAAGTGCAAAGTGGCAAGAAACACATTTGCAAAAGAGTAGATGTGCTAAGGGTGATTTCCAGCAAACCACATAAGCCTCGAGTTCTTGAGAAAATTTCAGGCGTATAGTCTCACTCTGGGGAAATATGGTGCTAGACAAAAGCGGTGGCGCTAACCTTGACGGCCATGATCACACCGCTGGGCACATGCTTCATCTTGTCCACCACGCCATATGCCCCTCTGCCCAGCTCCTCAATCAGCTCCAGATCATCTGCCTTCACCTCAAAGTTCTACACATACACAGAGAAAAACCATTAGAGATACTCCAGGACATTCACTTATCATGACTCATTCATTGCAAGACTTACAGCACATTCACAAAACACAAAAAAGAAAAAGACAGCAGAATGAGAAATTTCTATTTGACAAGTCTGGTTAAAAAATGATTAACGAGGGGGCAAAAAAAGCCACTGTTACAACCGTGACTCCATGTTAGGTAATAAAAAGCACAAGCTCTTTCCTGCCTGCTGTTACCTGCTATGACTGGTTAACGCCAGAAAGGCTTTGAACCTCAAAGCCACAAAACAACGGCCTTCTGCAATCTAAGATCTTCTCAATCTCTGCAAAGCCGCCCCCCCCATAAAATCCAATCTGCCTCTATCTCACGATGACCATTAAAGCAACTTAAACTTCGGGTTAAACTGTCAAGACAAAAAGCCACCACCTTTGCCAATGGAAAATTCCACTTATTTGATGAGTTTAAAATAAATATTTTTACAGCCCAGGAGGCAGTAAAGCACATTCCAGTCTGCCTGCAATCAGAAGGATCCAATTGAGCTATAAAGTGCACTGGGCCGTTCTTTAGGGCTCAGGGGCGATTAATTGAGCCAAGCTTTTATATCCACTCAAAGAACCTTACATCACCACACACAATAACACAAAATATGAAACGCAGAGGGAGGTGGGCCAGTGTTTATGGAGCATTCTGGCACAAGAATGACGATCATGTTCTGTAACTTCGTCCATGGAGGCTAGGAGTGGGCGATACGGCAAAAATATAATATCACGATACTTTTCACAATACATGATGCGTATGACAATATTTAGTGTTTCTGAGGTTTGATGAGTTGGAACTGACAAAAAAAAAAAACTTGTAACCCTAAAAATACTGTTAGCATCTATGAGTGCAGTGATCTTCATTCAATATTTGCCAAATGAAGAGGACCACTTATGCTCTCTTTGAAGTGTAATATGAGGTTGGTCAGCGCTCTTTAAGTGCTGACGATATCTGATATGCTCAGAAAAGCGTATTGTGATGCATCGCTATACCGAAAAAGTATCGTCACATTGCCCAACCCTAATGGAGGCCTAGTCAGCACTAGTGAACACACACACTAGGGGGCAGTGAGCACACTTGCCCGGAGTGGTGGGCAGCCCTATCCGCAGCGCCCAGGGCACAGATGGGGGTTAGGGCCCTTGCTCAAGGGCACTTCAGTCATGTACTGTCAGCTCAGGGGATCGAACTGGCGACCTTCCGGCCACAGGGCTGGTACCCTAACCTCCAGCCCGTGACCGCCTCCTCATTTTCTCAGAAGAGGATGTATTAACTTATTTTCACTTGAACATCAACAAAATGTCATCATTTGACCAGCAGTGCCCAAACTTTTGCCTGTATGACCCTATTATGGGAAAGAATGGTAATCAAATTATATATAAAATTTCATGGTCAACGGATCAAGAATTGATGCAAAATGACTTGGAATAAGATGCTGTTCCTCTGACTTCCATTAAGAGTTGTTTTTTCAAGCTTTTTTTCTTCTCCTATAAAGTGACTTTTACACCTTTTTGACATTTTGTTCTGACGACAACAACAACATCTTTCATCAAATGCTATACAACTGGCAAACAGGAAACTCTCTTTTTGGTTTAGTGTTAGCAATAAAATTGTGAAGAGGAACGACTAAAGTGTAAAGGGCAACACAAAACGTTCGACCAAGAAGACATTTGAGAGAAAAAAAAAAAATATAGGAAACTACAGTAACACAAGACAATAACTAGTAGTTCACTTCTAAGACACGTTTTTTTTTGTTTTCTCCACTAAGTTAATTGAAAACTGGAGGAATCTTACCTTCTCTCCAATAGTAACGCAGGCTTTAGAGTCCAGGTCTCTTGGGGGTCTGCACGATAATGAAGAAATCATTTTTAGTCTCTACAGAGCTCTCACACAATCAATTAAAGACAGAGGACACAAGTCTTCCTTAATTACAGACATGATTCAAATGACACTGTAACCTAAAAAGCATGAGGATTCTGACTCTTCACATTATAACACCAGCAATTACAAAACGCAGTTAATTACTTTTGCGATACGGCACTTAAGGCCCAACGCAGACTTCAAAAGACGACTTAAATGGAAAGAAAATTTTAATTGAGATTTGAGAGAAGAAATGGGGATGTGCTTACGTAGCAGCAGGAGGGGGCTGCTCAAACGCCTCCTTAGAGAGCTTGAGCACCGGCTTCTTCTTACCTGCGAACAGGAGGAGAGAGGGAGTGAGGAAAAAAGAGGGGAAAAGAGGAGCAAGCCCAAAACACGTTTAGTGGGATGAACAGTGCCTCTGACAGTCAACAACAAAGAGCTACTTCCATTTAGGCATTTAGCCAGATAATATTATCACACTGGTTGGTCGAATTGAAACAAAAGTAGAAAAAAATGGTGGTAATAGTGAAAAAAGAGCACCGAGAGACAGAGAGAGGGTAATGAAGAGGCTGAGAGGAGGAAGACATCACTTTGGCATGAACAAAGCGGGGGAAAGAAAACACGCAGAGACAAAAAAAAAAAGACGACAAGATCAAAGGGTAACGGAATGGACTGCATCGTTCCAGAGCAGCCTCCGGAGACACCCTGCCCTTTCTGTCAGCTCTTCAGAGGAATCCCAGGTTTTGGAGCTGGAAGTCAGACGGACACTTACGGTCGGGCAGCGCACGCGGCTCCAGATCCTGGCTGAGCGAAAGCTGGGGAGCGAGAGAGCGAGAGCAGAGGGCGAGCGAAAGCGCACGAGCGAGTGAGCGAGCGTACAGCAGTGACACAGAGAGACGAGGCAACAGCCACCGTCGCATTCTCTCATTTGGAGCTTCTTGCGCCGGCGCCGCAGAGCACCACGGCAACGGGCAGGGTTCGGGGTGACTGACAGCAGGGCGAGCCAATCCAAACACCTGAGGGCAGGTATACACACACACACACGGCACTGCGCAGCTGCACGCCCAACTGCCTAACTCGACCCTTCCACTCCGCTGAACAGGAACAATAACAGCCTGCGCAGGTACAGCTTGTGCCAGAAAGGTGCGTTTAGGTGGTGCAGCAGATTTAAATCTGAGCTCATGAATACATTAGCATGCCAGCTAAATCATACCAGCTTTAAAAATCAACAGGCCAGCCTTTCCTCAGATTTACACAACTTTCCCTTTACCTCCAGTGTAGTCAATCACCAAGACATGCTTGGTGTCTGAAGTCTCCCTGTATTGTTTTAAACTGGAGCTATGAGGCTGATATAGCTCACTCCTAATGGAAGCTCCTAATTGAGCATACTGCAAACTGCATGCGCTTCTTTCAAACTGAGCTGTTTTTACACAAATTTCTAAAATAAATGACAAAAGTTTAGTTTAGAAGTGGAGCAGTGAGGCTAACGTTGCTAACAAACACTATAACTCAATAGCCACCCAAATAGGCCAAATCATTTCTGTAAAAAGTTCATCACCAAAACTTCTCTAAAGCCACATTCAGGTCATCACTGAGGTTGTGAAAACTCAGGACAAAGTATGACTTGCGATGAGCTGTGAAACTGAACAAAACCGTGGGCAGCCAGCTTAGATAACAGGGTTTACAAACTACCCCAAAAGCAGGAGTGCTGATCTAGAATCAGTATTTGTGACAATGAGAGCTAAAAATACAGAGGACTCTGATTTAAGATCAGTCCTGCTCTGCGATTAACAGCCCAGGCTTTGTCTGAAAGCTGCCCACAGTGGCAAAGCTGTCGTTTTTCATAGTTCGCTGTGCTCTAAACCACATCAGCATCTCTGTGTGACCTTAATGAACCCTGGATGTGGTTTGAGGGGGCTGAGAGAAGTTCTGGTGATGTACTTTTACAGAAACAATTTGGGTTATTTAAGCAACTTATGAGTTGTACTGTTTGTTAGCAACATTAGCCTCCTAGCTGCAGTTCTAACCTTAAGAAACAAAATTTATCTTTCACAATCACATGTTTATGTCACAACAAACAGAGTGTGAATTGGCTGCATTCTCATCCATCAGGCTGATTCAAAAACATACACTGATCAGGCATAACATTATGATCACCTCCTTGTTTCTACACTCATTGTCCATTTTATCAGCTCCACTTACTATATAGGTGCACTTTGTAGTTCTACAGTTACAGACTGTAGTCCATCTGTTTCTCTGCATACTTTGTTAGCCCCCTTTTACCCTGTTCTTCAGTGGTCAGGACCCCCATGGACCCTCACAGAGCAGGCACTATTTGGGTGGTGGATCATTCTCAGCACTGCAGTAACACTGATGTGGTGGTGGTGTGTTAGTGTGTGTTGTGCTGGTACGAGTGGATCAGACACAGCAGTGTTACTGGAGTTTTTAAACATTGTGTCCACTCACTGGCCACTCTATTAGACACTCCTACCTTGTCAGTCCACCTTGTAGATGTAAAGTCAGAGACGGTAGCTCATCTGCTGCTGCACAGTTTGTGTTGGTCATCCTCTAGTCCTTCATCAGTGGTCACAGGACGCTGCCCACAGGATGCTGTTGGCTGGATATTTTTGGTTGGTGGACTATTCTCAGTCCAGCAGTGATATTGAGAGGTTTAAAAACTACACCAGCGCTGCTGTGTCTGATCCACTCAGACCGGCACAACACACCACCACCACTGGTCCTGTGGGGGTCCTGACTACTAAAGAACAGTGTAAAAGGGGGCTAACAAAGTATGCAGAGAAACAGATGGACTACAGTCTGTAACTGTAGAACTACAAAGTGCACCTATATAGTAAGTGGAGCTGATAAAATGGACAATGAGCGTAGAAACAAGGGAATGGTCATAATGTTATGCCTGATCCGTGTGATGCCTGGGTCTTACTAAAACAACAGTTGTAACTTCTGGTGCTACAACACTTTTAGAGGGCAGCAGTGAGCAATGTGTTTTCATTTGAACTCTGTGTCTGTGATTGAAACATCAGCCAAATCCAAACATCGGTCCGATGCAAAGAATTTTTTTTTTTTTTTCAAAAAATTATCTGCAGATATCGATACGATTCCAATACTGTCATGCACCCCTACATTTTCCCCCAAAAAAAAATCAACTTAGGTTGTAAATTCTAACGGCTGACAATTACTATTGTAAAGAAATACATGTACTCCACTACTACATAAGTGATTGACACTTTCAAGTACTAGTACAGTACATCTGCTTTCGATACTTTTCAATACGAGCTAATTTAAAGAGACCTACTTATGGTTAGTGGAGTTTTACATACCAAAAACAAGCATGATTCACTTTTACACGGCCGTTGTCCAAACTCCCTAAACCACAAAAAAAAAAAAAACCTCCATTTTTGCCATTTTTGTTTTCTGCACAACTGAGCACAGCAGATCATCGCTGTTGAAAAAAATTATATAATAAAAAAAAAGGTATTACATTGTTGGAAAAATTCACGATGAATGCACCAGTAGAAATGTTAAGAATGTTTTTGCCCTCTTCATGAAGTTACCATTTTGGAAATACAGGTTTTTCTTTGGAGAGCAACAATATTTCAACAGGCTGTTTTTTGTTACTGTACCTTTAAGACTAACATGTAAATGAGCTCTGTTCTGTTTAGGGATGCACTGATACCGATACTCGTGAAATGTACACCGATACCAATATCTAATACCAACTGACACCATGTGACATAAGCCTAGTGTATACTGCCACGCTAACGAACCAACAACTGAACGAGGGTTTGCTCGCACAGAGAAGTGTTACTGACCCCGTTGTAGTTGGACTCAAGTCACTGGACACTTTAAACATTCCGCCTTGCTATTATATTCCCATTAGAAATACAACGTGCAATTTTAGACCGTTTCTGCTCAGTTTCTCAGCGTATTTGTGCAGCACTTGGTGTGTAATGTGCTGTTTTTATGACAGCTTTATGTGAAACTGTTCATAGACAGAGCTGTCTGAAGGGGCTCCATTCGTTATGGCATGAGCGTTGTCCTACAGTGAGTATATAATTTGTAGGCTTTGTTCGTACACGATGGTCTGTTCACACGCACAGCAAGATTTTTAAAAATCGCACAGCATGCGTCTAGCTGTAGAGGACATTCAACTACAGCTCAGCCAGCCAAACAAGACGTAAAGCTCGAAATGCGAGCATAAGTGCATACTTCAGCCTCGGATGTGATCCCTGCTGTCACTGTACTACAGAGACTGTTGAAAGAGGCAGATGAAGAGCATGAGAACAAAACTATAAAACATTCTTTACTTCCAGCTGTACAGAAGCGCTTTTCTGACATGCAACAAGACCCACTCTTCTCCACTTCAACGCTACTTCATTCTAAGTAGGTAATTCATTATGGTGTCTGACTCGATGTTGGCGAGTACTTAAAAACACGTACTGGTACTCTGAAAAAAAAAAATCATACTGACATATCACTAGCTCTGATTAGATGCTCTGTACCGTGCCTCATTCAAAAACAGTCCTGGCTGAAACACTTCATATGGTGTCAGCATGCATGGGCTGGATATATGTAAACGCATTGGTTTTCTTGACATCATAAAAACAATGAACATTTTGTAGCTTAGTTTCCCTACATGGACTGTATGGATGGGCCAAACCATCTCAAAATTTTAACCATGTTTACATACTAGAGGTCTGCGTGGGACCGTTTTTTCAGTCCCGCTCCCACCTGCTCCCGCAAGATTTCAGCCAGCTCCCTCAGAAAATCGGAATCATTTGTCCTGCTCCTGCCCACAACCGAAACATTTTTCCGCCATTTGCCGCCCGCGCAGTTCCGTCAAGACGATCCACTGACATCCAATATCTGACAATGTCTATTCATAAACACATTATTCTCTGCTGAAATAACACAGCAGTCATGGTCATCAGGCTCACTGTGAAGTAACAACTCGTTCTACTTTATTTAAGCTATTCATTAATTTACGAGATTTCTCTTTCAGCCCGCTCCCGCCTGCAGTGGGCGAGATTCCCACCCGCTCCCGCACGCAACACTGAAAATTAGTCGCACACTGCAAGATATTGTGGCGGGACCCACAGGGAGTGCAGACCTCCATTACATACCACATCGAACTCCTATCTGTAAAAGGGGGGAAGGGCAGTGTTCCCTTTAAGTGTATTGCATGTGGTTTAGAAACGTTTTGCAACTAAAGCGGTCTCAAGCACCATTTCAAAGGTCCACTGCATGTAAAGTCACTCTTGGCACTTAAGCACATTTAAATTCAGTTTAATTCATGTAACAAGTCATTCCGCAACTGATTCATAATAATCACACACATATTTTCCCCACGCTGTGTAAGCCTACTGAGTACTGCTGTTTTTACTGTTAGATTAAATCTGCTAACGCTTCATTTCACTGATATTTGGAAAAATGACTAATCACAATTATATTGTATTTAACAACAATTAACCTCTGCTGTATCTGCTCTCACTGCCAAGGACTCTAAAACTCTCAAGCACACAGGATACAGACATGCCTGCATAAAGAAAACGCAGGCACCACGTTGTCTTTATTCTAGTCATCTTAAGAGGCTTGGATCTATCATTTCACTGTGGAACTGGGAGGAGTGGAAATGTGATCTGTAATAGCACATCGAAGTTTGGCTGACAACACTAAAAACCTTCCTGTTTTACTTGTATTTCACATATTCCCCTCTAAGTACGAGCTATTGGCAAAAGAACTGCTAAAGGCAACGTTAGCTGAATCAGGCAAAAATGATACCGGAGAAGAATGAGTGTAGTTTCTAAGAACATTAGATGTGTGTCGGGATTCCAGTGTAACTGACTCTTATTTGACCTAAATAGCTGCTCTATTATGGGGAACGCCAGTGCCAGTTTAGTGATGCAGTGGATTCAGGTGGTACTATGTGCTGGAAAAACAGGCCACTACATTCGTATTACAAGCCTTATTAGGCCTGTCGCAATTATTACATAATCATCTGACTGCAATTACTTGAGCTGATCATGAATACACTGTACAAAAATATAAATGCAACACTGAAAAGATTTTACTGAAACCCGCAAAATGAAACAGTGTTCCCCACATTAGCATCATGACCACCATTGGCTTGTAGCAGCACATTCCTAGCAAAACATCTTTCTAATCTGCTTCAAAAGTGTTGCATTTTTATTTTTGTTCAGTACCCATTGTAGTAAGCCTTCACCATCATATGTTGACATCACAACAACATGTGAATTGGATGCATTTTGCCACCTGGGTTAAGGCAAAATATCCAAAAGCAGTAAACATATTTACGGGTCTTAAAACAACAAAAGTTCTCATTTCTGACTGGCGCTTTAACATTTTAGAGGCGACTGATGAGTAACAATCATTTATTTGAGCTTGAGCGACTTCTGTTATTAACTGGGAGCTACTAAGCTTTGGCAGTTGGAAGCAAAGCGGCTTATCGACCTACTTGTCCACATTAGATGTGTAATTTAATACAGTACGTATGTAAAAGTTTCATGATTCTGAAAGGCTTAAGTAGAGACGGAAGGATCCATCAGTTATGTATCGGTATCAGACACATTTTTAACCCAAATATGCAAATCAGCAATCGGCAGACGTTTCTCTAACTTGCCTGATGCTGAACAGTGACGTAAAACATGAGTCATATTTCGCCTGACGCGCCAGAATGCAACTGCTGCACCATTTAAGGTGGAACTAAATATTAAGAACAAGAAGCTGACAAATAGGAAGCCAACTTCAGCCTCATTATATCTATTTCACTTATGAAAAACATTTTTCCTGAAGTATATTACATATTCGGCTCCTATTATGCTATAAACTCTGCTGTAATTAATGCGGTTTCTTGTCAAAGCTTTGAGAATTTGTTTCTGTTAGTATGTTATCATCGGAGCACTAATCTTAGGTTAGCTGACACTACACTAGCTTCATGAATTGCGGCTTTAGGAGGGACCGAAAATAAAAATAAAATTACAAAAGCGACCATATGCCAGCCCTTTTAGCCTTTTCAGTACATTTAAAAAACCATCCAAGAAGCAGGAGGACTGTTTTGTCCCGTTAGCTGCGCCGGTTACATGGGCTCTGGTTATTTCAATGGCTACGCCAGCCTGAGACACCAGAACGCTGCATCACCTAAGGTGAAACA